TTCAATTATAATTTCCTTTATTTTTATTTATTTATTAAAAAATTTTTTTAATGTTTATTTTTATTTTTGAGAGAGAGAGATACAGAGGACGAGTAGGGGAAGGGCAGAGAGAGAGAGAGAGAGAGAGAGAGAGAGAGACACAGAATCTGCAGCAGGCTCCAGGCTCTGAGCTGTCAGCACAGAGCCCAACGTGGGGCTCGAACTCATAAACCGTGAGATCATGACCTGAGCTGAAGTCGGATGCTCAACCTACCGAGCCACCCAGGCGCCCCTACAATTTCCTTTAAAGAAGGGATTCCTGTGATATAATTTGGAAACCACTGTTTCACAGAGTTATAGTTGTGACATCCATTAGGAGCTCTTCTTAGATTCATCTAAACGTTCAGCTCAGCAAGTCTGCGCGCAGCAAGCCATACCTATCCTCAGGTTCACCATGAAGTCTTTGGAACAGGAAGCCCAGCTGGCCAGCCAGAGTAGCATCAGGCATTTCTTTTTGGTGTGAGTCTTGATGGTGGTCTGTGCAGCGGTCCACACAGTTGTCCAGGAGCTGGTCTCTTTGGCCCCCTGTGATGACTCAGATCTAGGAACAAGACCCACCCTGGACCTGCCCTGGCTTGGAAGTCTCATGGCACCATTGCACAGCCCTGACAGCAGTGCTGGAGGCCCAGTGTCCAGGGTGTCTGCACGGAACGTGTCTCATTCCCAGAGGCACTGTACTCTGGAAAGTTCAAAGTTACGGCTCCACCATCATGTATTTATAGTTCGTGCCAAGTTACTTCCAGTTCAGAAGCAGTTTATCCACTTTTTGATAACGTTATTGATTTATACCTTTATGGGGGAACAGAGCTAGAAAGTTAAAGGAAGGCTGAATTTTTATGCAAGAGGAAAAACATTTGTTAGCTTTTTGCCCACAATGGTACTTGAGTGACAGTGTTGTGTGGGAACGTTCTCCTTTGTGTCTATACATGTGAGATCCTGCAGCTATGAATTGGGTATGGCTGTGTCACTATGCCTGTTCACCATCTTGATTCTTTCTTCTTAGGGTTGACTGCAGTTGGTGGGTTGGCACTGATGGGAGGACATTTGTATCCTTCCACAACTTCTCAGGGCCTTGCTGCTCTTGCTACATTTATTTCCTCAGTCAACATTGCAGGTACGATGGCAATGGTGGTAAAAGAACCCACGGTGCTGTTTATGTATGTATGTATTATGTGATCTCTATACCCAACGTGGGACTTGAACTCACGACCCCAGGATCAAGAGTTGCATGTTCCATGCTCTTCTGAATGAGTCAGCCAGGCGTGCCCCCCTCCCCCCTCCCCCGCCAAGTGCTGCTTTTAATGGAGTCATGAGAAGCAAATATAAACCGATATAGACATTTGGAGTGTTAGACATTCTGATTTTAAGAATTTAATTGTGCCTTTAAAAATGGTCTCACTCAGATCATAAATGCTCTCTGTGAAGAAAAATTATTTTGCCCACTTGTAATTTTTAGAAACCATTTGATAAAAGAACACCCTCTTCCCCTGTGCCCCGAAATAAACAAACAGAATGATTGTCTTGCTACAGGTTAACTAGAAAGTTTTTGAATGCATAGTTTTGAATTAAGTTGACTTGTAGCTATCACCGTAACATCTCTAAATGAGTATACTTTTAGATAAAATTTTAGCCTTTTGCCTTATCCTGGCCTGTGTTCCTGAAAACTGAAAGCCTGGCCCATCACTTGTATAAACTCATTTGATGCTATTTTGTATCAAAAAATCAGTTAATAAGTCCAAGAAATCTGGTGCCTGTTAATATGGCATTTTTTTTCTTTTATCACTTAATATAGGTTTAACAAACAGAAAAACTTATTAGAAAAAATTACTAGCCTTTGATCTTTTGCGTTCCCAAGCTGTTTGAATGCCTGTTTACTTGTAGTCACGCAGAAATAGTTGGTGCTGCACCCTGGTCGCAAATTTTGTTTTTGAATATAGGGTTCCCTGCATTCAGTGGAACTGGCTTGAGTAATAGCCTAACTTAATTTTGAGCTCTTAAAATGTTACTTAATATTATATTTATCCTTAGGTGATAAAGATGTGCTTAAAATAGGAAAAGTGTACCACTTTAAAAATAATGTTGCTAAATGAGATACCTCTTTCTGTTTTATATTTACTTTGATAAGGTGGCTTTCTGGTGACCCAGAGAATGCTGGACATGTTCAAGCGTCCCACGGACCCCCCAGAATACAACTACCTGTATCTGCTCCCTGCTGGCACCTTTGTTGGAGGATATTTAGCAGCTCTCTACAGTGGCTATAACATTGAACAAGTAAGAGGCTGTTTTGAGAATTTTTAATTTTGCCACTGTGTTTTCTTTCCAACTAGATTTCACATTATCGTTATCAAAATTCAGGCTCTGACAAGCAAATATAATAATAACTCTAGAAACATCTTGGTCAAATGGAGCATTCCTATCCCCTAAGAATCCGTACCCCAGATTCTAGTGACAGATTTGCCTGCTAACTGAATGTGCTAACGTGGGTTTCCCTGTCTGTCCCTCAGTTTTTCTACGTGTAAAAAGAGTCAAGAAAGTTATTAGTATCCTCTTTATGTACCTGGCTGGATTGTTGTAGGGATATGGTGAAATAATCAGTAAAAAATTTTGAAAATTTTCTGTTTCTCCCCCAACAAATTCAGTGCATCATCTTTTGTAAGCAGGAGATGTTATGTCAATTCATTTAAAAAAGACAGTTTAAAAATAAACGTTATGTAGAAAAGCAGAAATAATCAAGTTAAACTTCGAAAGTTCCATGTTCCAATATAATTATAATTGAGACTCAATTTTGTTCTGAACTCAGTATTTTTTTTTTATCACTTTTCAATGACTGTCATGTGATTGCATCTACTCTGACAGCAAGAAAATCGTGTCTCCCTTGGTTTCTGCTATTCCCAGCGTTTCTTACTTGTTGATTGAACAAAATCTTTTTTGAGAACAGTTGGAGTGGTACGTCAGGGAGACCCTTGTCTGAATCCCAGATTTGCTATTTTCTGATCATTTGACCTTGGAAGAATTATGTAGTAACCTCTTTAAACTTTGGTTTCCTCTTGTAACATGAGGATGATGACTCTTTCAATTTTTGTGAATCTCATGGGACTGACTGACAACTTCAGTAAAGTATAGGGCATGGTCCCTGGCATTTACTACGTCAGGGATTGGCTCCTTTACAGCGTTTGGTCAGGTCTAGAGCCCATAACTCTGTTTAAACTTAGGTACTTCTGTATGCATTTGTGCATGCCATCCAATACAAAAGAAACCAATTTACCTAAATGGTATAACTGCAAGTAGAATTTCAGGTATTTAATTTGTTAATATCCCTAATGGATAGAAAGATATATTGAAATATTCAAAGAAGAAGTCATATTGGTCCCTCTATTATCTGAATTTAAAGTTGTTCTTAGGAAATCACGTTTCCTCAAGAGAAGTCCTCCCTATGCTAATAGACTGAAAGTTTTGATAGTCTTTCTGTCTCTCTCTTTCTCTCTTCTCTTTTGTTTGCAAAGATCATGTATCTGGGCTCAGGTCTGTGCTGTGTTGGTGCCCTGGCCGGCCTTTCCACCCAGGGAACAGCTCGTCTTGGCAATGCATTGGGCATGATTGGGGTGGCTGGAGGCCTGGCAGCCACTCTCGGAGGACTAAACCCATCCCCAGAATTGTTAGCCCAGATGTCTGGAGCAATGGCTTTGGGCGGTACCATTGGTAAGCACTTGGCAGGTTTCTACCTTTATGGGAACCCAAGCCCATTTTTTAGCTCACTCTTTTGGTGCAGTTGATGTACTTACTCAGTGTTAAATGTTTTAAAATGTTTGTATTTGAATGAGAATTATACCAACTTGATGACTTTTCACCAAAATGAAATACATTATATTAGAAACAAAGGTAATTATATTATTTATAACTTTCTAATTTATTCGAGCTTATTTTCTATGCTCTTGAGATTACCCATGTTTATTATCTGTTTTTAGGAATACCGTATAAAGGTGGGCTTCTGTCCATGGCTTCCCAGCTCCATAGTTAATGACATAACCTTGGTAGTTAGAAATTGATCATGATGGTTGCATTTACACGGTGGAAATCAACAGATACTAACATATCTGGGTTTCATTTATTGTTTTGTTGATTGTCCAGCCCTGAGAAAGTGGTGGAGAAAATATTAATAATGCAGCTTAAATTCAAAAATGTGCTGTGTCTATAGCCATTACGTGGTGAATATCACAAAAAACTTAGCAAATATCCTCATAGTGTTTGAAAACTATCATCCGATTTAGTGAAGCAGCTGCTCACATTGTTGATAATGAGTGAGGTTCTCACATGCATCTTTCAGTTTTGTCTTACTTGTTAATGCAGACAAAAATGTCAGCCAACATTCCCATGGGAACCACACTCATTCATCAGTTGCAACCACTAGGTTGGTGACACAAGAGTGGGTAAAAGTCAACAAATGCATTCTGTGAACGTCAATTGGCTACATGGAGTTTACAGTAGAGAGTACTATATGTTTTGTTATTTGAAACTTGTGTGCTCTATACCTTTATATCAGCGAAAACTCATGTACATACTTCTAACAGGCACAGGCACGTGTTTTTATCCCAAGGAGCTGGTGGTTATATATTTACCAGCATAACAGTAGCTTTAGACCTCCTTTTGTACTTTCGCAGGAATGCTTTGTGTCCCTTCTCAATAGTCCCTGGAAAGGAACTGGAAGCAAAATGTGTTGTAGGTTCATGGCAGAAAAACTTTTAGACAGGATCTTAGCAAGTATTCTGAGAGGCACTCCTGTACCACCTGCCTAGAACCAGGCAGGAGTTCAAGAGTCTCCTCATTTGCACGATTACTCTACCCAGCTATTTGCATGTGTTCGCCTTTGCTCCCACCCACCACCCTGAAAACCTAAGCCTTCTTCAAATTCCAGCTGTTTCTTGTGTGCTCAGGAGCAAATATTGGCTTTTGGAGAAGAGAGCTTGAGTTATTCTTGCAGTAGGGGGATGTAAAGGCATGTGAAGAAGCGTTAGGGGAGTGTTTGCAGGTTGTGAGGGAAGAGGCAGGTGTCAGTGCTGTGTGTTGGGTTTTGGAATTGGACTGTGTGTTGAGAAAGCCTGCTATTTTGAAAGGGTATACATAGCCAGCGTCCTTACCTTCTGTATAGTCCCTGTGAGAGAATATTTAGCCCATATGAGGAAGCAGATAAATACTTATTAGTGATAATGATGGGAAACCCTTAAATGTGTATACCCAAAAAATTGAGGTAGAATCGGCATACATTGTATTAGTTTCAGATGTATGAAATAATGAGTCAGTATTTGTGTATATTGCAAAATAATCACAGTAAGTGTAGCAAATATCTGTCACCGTACATAGTTGCAGAATTTTTTTTTTCTTGTGCTGAGAACTTTTTTTTTTTTTAATTTTATTTTAGAGAGAGAGCGTGAGCAGGGGAGACTGGCAGGCAGGGGGGAGAGAGAGAATCTTAATTAGGCTCTGTGCTTAGCACAGAGCTGGATGTGGGGTTTGATCCCATGACCCTGGGATCGTGACCTGAGCCAAAATCAAGAGTTGGACGCCCGACCGACTGAGTTATCCAGGGGCCCCTTGTGATGAGAACTTTTAAGATCTACTTTCTTAGCAACTTTCAAATACACTATACAGTATTATTAATAATAGTCACCATGCTGTATGTTACATCCCCACGACTTATTTTGAGCCTGGAATCTTCACCCATTTTGCCCGTCCCCCTTCCCCTGCCTCTGGCAACCACCAGTCTGTTCTCTGTATCATGAGCTTGGTTGTTTTTTTGTTTTAGGTTTCATATGCAAGTGAGATCATATGGTATTTGTCTTTCTCTGTCTGACTCATTTCACCTAGCATGATACCCTCAAGGTTCATCAATAGTTTCACAAACGGCAAGATTTCTATCTTTCTTTATGGCTGAATAATGTTCAGGCATGGGCTTTATCAGAGTTGCTTCTCAAAGCTGTGTTGAGTTTTAATATCTCTTTGACCTTCATTTCCCAACAGGACTGACAATTGCCAAACGCATCCAGATTTCTGATTTACCTCAGTTAGTTGCTGCTTTCCACAGTTTAGTGGGCTTGGCAGCGGTGCTTACTTGCATAGCTGAGTACATTGTAGAATACCCACATTTTGCTGTGGACGCAGCAGCAAATCTCACCAAGATCGTGGCCTACCTCGGTACTTACATCGGAGGCGTCACGTTCAGTGGCTCTCTTGTTGCCTATGGAAAACTGCAGGGTAAGTGACTTAGCACCTACCTATATTATTCAGTGTAAATATCTCTTGTTTAGGGGTCCATTTCAATTTTAGAAAATGGCTTAACTGTCAAAGCTGTTAGGTGAAGAATTCAGGTAGCGCTCAAATATATAAAAGACCCCCTCCTCCACATCACGGTGGCTTTCCTTTATTTGAGCCTTCCAGATCTCCTAAGGCTTTGAAGCTGTTCCTTCTGTAGACAGCCAATGGAGGAAACAAGTGCACAGAAATTTGTGTAGAGGGACTAGTTGACATTTGATGATAAATGTGAACAAAACAACATCTTCATAACCCTTAGAGATGCCTCTGTAGAGTTCACAAGAATGCACTTTATACGTTTTCCAGAATAGAGAGCAGCTTATTGAATAAGCTGGTGTGATCACTATGCAGTACTGATTCTGAAAACAGATACACATTTTACAGCTGTAGCATGGCATCTTCTGCTACTGCCAAAGTCAGCCAGGAAAATAGAAGTGGGGGTAAAAAAAAACAACAAAAAAACCAAACCTCACATAGGCTGTTTTCAGTGTTTTCATGAAAAAGTGAGTCTATATAGAAACTAGTTTATGATATAAAAATCTGGTCTGGCCTCTCAGTAATCAAGTCATTAAAATTAAATAGGAAACTTCCATGGAACTTAAAATCCCAAAAGAACTTCAAGCCTACAATGTTCTTGTCTCATGCTTTGTTTTTAAAAACAAGTAGCAAACCAGGGCTCTGCTCCCTTGGGCTCAGTTGATAGAGTCAGAAATGCTAATGTGCTAGGACTCTGTTTTGAAGTTTTAAATAAATGAAACCACACTTAACAACTTGTGTGTCGGTCATATGGGAAAAAAGTAATTTTTTAAGATTTTGTGACAAAGAGTAAAATTGTTGTGTGATCAAAGTACAGAACAGTTAAGTTGAGCCATACTTTTCCTACTTCTGTTAACGTTTGTTACATCTAAGAGCCCTAATTTGCTTTTATGTTTCAGGTCCTTTTTTTATGCTGATATTAAATTTTGGTAGCTTAGGATTAAATGACACACACGTGTGTGTGTGTGTGTGTGTGTGTGTGTTGTTGTTGTTGTTGTTGTTGTTGTTGTTTTAATTTAATGACACGTGCTAGGTTCTAACTGACATGCCCTTGGTCCTAGGTATCCTGAAATCTGCCCCTCTCCTGCTTCCTGGAAGGCACTTACTTAATGCAGGCCTGTTGGCTGCTAGTGTGGGTGGAATCGTCCCGTTCATGATGGACCCTAGCTTTACCACCGGCATCACCTGTCTGGGCTCTGTGTCGGCTCTCTCTGCTGTCATGGTAAGAAGTCAGAGATGGGGGGCGCCTGGGTGGCGCAGTCGGTTAAGCGTCCGACTTCAGCCAGGTCACGATCTCACTGTCCATGAGTTTGAGCCCCGCGTCAGGCTCTGGGCTGATGGCTCAGAGCCTGGAGCCTGCTTCTGATTCTGTGTCTCCCTCTCTCTCTCTGACCCTCCCCCGTTCATGCTCTGTCTCTCTCTGTCCCAAAAATAAACGTTGAAAAAAAAAAAATTAAAAAAAAAAAAAAAAGAAGTCAGAGATGGAAAGCATGCACTCAGTGAGGAACTGGCAGTATTTTGTTTGATTACAGTCTAATCATATTTCTGTCTCTTCAAGACCCTTGATGGAATAAACATGTTTCAAAATGATGTCATGTATTCTGTTTAGAATTTGGAAAACACAGAAAAGTGCAAGAAGAAAAATCCACTCTTTCTTTCCACGTAATGGTTGCTTCCAAAGTTGTCATGTGACACATTTATTGTTCTGGGGTCTTTTCACTGGATCAGTGTGTTGGTGAATAGGGAATTTTAAAAAGCCAAGTGTTTTCAATACCATTCGTTAGGAGCCTCCCTGTTGTGACAGGGCCCACAGAATAATGCTTTGGGTTTTATGCGATAAGTGGAAGGTATTCTCTGCCAATTAGTTGTGCTAACATTTATTGGAAACTAGGATACCAAGTTAAATAACCACAGTATATAAAATGGAATGCAGTTAATAAATCCTCTGGGCTCAGTGGGGGGAGTTCAGCAAAGCCTTTCTTTCATGGTAGGTTTGGTCCTCCTCTTCCTCTCTGATTTTTGTATTTAGTATATTGATACATACAGCATTCTCTAGTTGGCCATGTGCTACAGTGTAGCATTTCATTATATCGGTGTATGAAGCCTTTGCAAACAGCTCTCTGTTATTCACTGATTCCCTTATTTGTCTAGTCTGGAGTCAACCTTATAGACAAGGTTAATGTTTTAAGTTTTTAAAATAATTTGTAGTGCTTAGCACAAAATTAGACATATAGTAATTGCTTATGAAACACATATTGGCTGCTTGATTCATGATTTACAGTGTTAAAATAATACTTATTATTATGTAATCCTAAAAGGACTGATTTTGACCAAGAAACTTTAGAAGTCTGAAAAGTAACTTAAAATTCTTTTTATGACTACTGACAATCCAATTTTTTTCAGGATTATATAGCACTGATTTTTGTTTTATTTTAAACCAATGAAGAGTAGTTTTGACATTTTTTTTTTATTCAGGAGAGCAGAAGAGGTAAAAAAAAAGTCTCAAAATAAAACCAATAGCATAGAAATAGAAAATTTTAAGAATTACTATTTTTTTTTTAATTTTTTTTTTTCAACGTTTATTTATTTTTGGGACAGAGAGAGACAGAGCATGAATGGGGGAGGGGCAGAGAGAGAGGGAGACACAGAATCGGAAGCAGGCTCCAGGCTCCGAGCCATCAGCCCAGAGCCTGACGCGGGGCTCGAACTCACGGACCGCGAGATCGTGACCTGGCTGAAGTCGGACGCTTAACCGACTGCGCCACCCAGGCGCCCAAGAATTACTATTTTTGAGAAGAAATGAATTTGATATTTAAGAGCTACTTTATGCTTTTATAAGGATGTCTGAGTAAGATAAAATATTTTGTGGACTATTTTAATTGCTTTTGACTTAATTAAGTAGCCTGTGAATATATTCACATCTTAAACTCAACATATGTGGGAGTATGTGGAATAAAAAGCAAAACTCTTCTTCCCCATCATGTTTTTCCTTTCCTGTGTTTAGTGATTTGGGGTTGCACTAGACAGACTTTGGATTCTGTTGTATTCCTCCAAAGAGTATTGATCATTATTTTTTAATTTATTTTTGTAGGCAGCTAACTTGGCTGCCTTCAGATTTCAAATCTGGCTCACCTATGATTGCGGGGGGTGGGGGGTGGTTGCTGAAATCTGTTATTAGATCAATGCGTAATGCATAAAGAGTGAGCCAGATATTTGGGCCGAGTTTATATATAGAGTTTGGGGCTCCCTCTCTTCAGCCTGTTCCTTTGCAGTTTGCCTTCTGCCTTTCCAGCTGCCTTAGTCACCCTAAATCCTGTCCTTGGATCTTCAAACTAGTGAGACTGTGGGCTTATGATTTAGTTTCAGCTCTTTCTCCTGGCACGAGCAGGTGCCTGCCCTTAGACTAACCATAAAAACCATAAAATTCACTCAGTGCTCTCACCTTTTTCCAAGTGCAGACCCCTCTCTAGTTTCTGCCTGCTTTTCATCACTGCCTTTTAGGGACTTAGGGATATTTAGGGGCGGGGAGGTGGTTCAGTGTTCTCACTTGGTACATCTGCTGGAGAGCTGACTGGATAGGAGGCACTTGGTTGTTACTGGCAGGAGAACTTCAAGGGAAGTAGGTTAATTGGAACACCAGAATGACTAAGAACCAAGATGTCCAGTGTCAGAGGTTTTATTTTTATCGTATTAATTTTGGTTCTGCTCTGGTTTTCATCGTAGGGTGTGACTTTGACAGCTGCTATCGGGGGTGCAGACATGCCCGTCGTCATCACCGTGCTGAACAGCTACTCAGGCTGGGCCCTGTGCGCGGAGGGCTTCCTGCTCAACAACAACCTGCTGACCATCGTGGGCGCACTCATAGGCTCCTCTGGTGCCATCCTGTCCTACATCATGTGTGTGGTAAGAAACGTGTGTGCACAAAAAAGACATGGTGTTCTCAAAATAAGGATGTGTTTGGTATTTCTTTTATTTGCAGTAGAAACGACTGTGTCCGTTCCTATTTTCTTCAGTAGAAATCTCAGAGTGTTTCATCTGAATAAATTTGCAAGACTGCTTTTAAAGCACCCAAGCGTAGATAATTAGGAAAATTAAATATAAAGATAAAAAAATCTTCCGACTGCCTCCAGCTGGAGATAAGCATTTAAGATTTCGGTCTATCTCTTGTATTCTCTTTTTTTTTTTCTCTTTTACATACCCGTGTATTTACTTGTCTGATCATATTGTATACTGTTTTACATTTTATTCTTTTCGTCTTACTATATTCTGGTCATTTTATTATTTTGAGTATTATTTTTTAAATAAATAATTTCTGTTTATTTTTTAGAGAGAGAGAGAGCGCACGTGTGAGAGCAGGGGAGGGGCAGAGAGAGAGGGAGACACAGAATCCGAAGCAGGTTCCAGGCTCCGAGCTGTCAGCACAGAGCCTGACGTGGGGCTCGAACTCATGAACTGTGAGATTATGACCTGAGCCGAAGTCGGTTGGTTAACCAACTGAGCCACGCAGGCACCCCTCTTGCCATTTCCTTATTAGAAGTGATTTTTAACTAATATTTTAATGGACTTCATATAAATCCATCATATGGATATATAAAATTTATTTAATATTTCCCTATAAAAATTATATTGTTTGAGTTTTAATTTTTCTTTGTAGAAAATACATCTTGGGCACCTCTGATTTTTGTCTTCGGATCGATTCTTCGACGTGAAAGAGTATGCTCGTTTTTATCAGTTCTTTCTACTTATTGCTATGTTGTTTCCGGAAAGCTTGCTTCAGTTAACACTCCCACTGGTCATCTGTGAGAGTGCCTATCTTGAAGTTTTGTGGTCAGCATGATCTTTTTTAAAAAAGCAAAAAAAATTAAGAAAACAAATACTTCTTAGCTTCCTTTTTGTTTCTAATTCTCTTCTGGATGGCAAGAAGATATCCTGCAAATAATTAAAGGTTTGACTAGAAAATGTTTTCAGATGATAGATACGATTCTCTAACAGTTCTGAATGACTGTGAAAGGGCAAGTGTGAAATGGAGTGACATCAGAATGTGGCTCTGCTGATTAATAATTCAGGCAGAAAAAGGACATTTATTCTGCCTCCATTCTTTTATTACAATATTTAAAAAAGACCCACCCTTATTTTATAACTCAGAATTTCTCAAATGTTTTCACTGAAAATCTCTTTGTAAATTGAATGCTGAGGTTATCTTTTTATAGTAAAAAAAATTAGTTTTCTTTGGCCATATTGTAAAACAAAGGATTTGATAGCCCAAGTTCAAAGAAAGGAAGAGGTTTTAAAATGAAATCTTCCAGGTTGTTCAGGGAATTTGGAAAGGTGGAAGCTTGTGTCTCCTGCTTGAAAGGTGTCAGGCTTTGGGGTTTAAAAAAACACAAATGTTTGGGGCATCTGGTTGGCTCAGTTGGTTAAGCATCCAACTGTTGATTTTGGCTCAGGTCATGATCTCACAGTCCATGAGTTTGAGCCCCAGGGAGGACACTGTGTTGGCAGCACAGAGCCTGCTTGGGATTCTCTCTCTCTTTCTCTCTCTCTTTGTCCCTCCCCTGCTTGCACTCTCTCTCCCTGTCTGTCAAAATAAATAAACATTAAAAAAATTAAAAGACAAAAAACAAATGTTTGTGAACAAGGAAAAATGTATTCAATTGTATTAGAGATAGTTTTCTCAAAAAATGAACTTTTTTTAAATTAAGTTTTTTGTTTGATTCCAGTATGATTATATACAGTGTTATATTAGTTTTGGGTGTACAGTATAGTGATTCAACAGTTCTGCACATTACTCAGTGCTCGTCATGGTAAGTTTACTCTTCATCCCCTTCACCTGTACACCCGTCCCCACCCACCTCCCCCCTGGTAACCATCAGTTTGTTCTCTGTAGTTAAGAGTCTGTTTCTTGGTTTGTGTCTCTTTTTTTCCTTTGTTCATCTGTTTTGTTACTTATGTTCCACATATGAGTGAAATCATATGGTATTTGTCTTTCTCTGACTGACTTATTTCACTTAGCATTTAAAAATGAACTCTTAGTTTGACTTTGCTTTGTTTGGTGAATTTGAATGACCAGGAGGGGGCAGCAGATTTTCATCATTACTTAAACTTGTTGGTCAAAATACTGATTTTAAAATTACACGGGAAGACTTAAATTTTAACAAAGCCAGTGGCATACTGATCTGGGGAGAGGTGAGGAGTACTTATGTCTAGTTCTTAGAGCATCATCATGGGTCTTTCTTGGCTTTATCATTTTTTTTTTTCCTTAAATGGTTTTATTTAGGTTCTTAAATCTTATCAGTAGTATTTCCCAAATTTCTGTGTGTCTTTTTTTAATTTCCTTCCCATTCCCTTCTTCATCTAGTTTCTTTTATTATTGTTGGTTATAGTAACTACAGAAACTTACAGTAGCAATTCTATGACAGTAACTAGAATAAGGTAGTAAGAGGCAGTTGTTGAAAATACTTTTTTCTATGTGTACTTCTGTGACTGTATCATCTTTGTCTTATGCTTTTCTCTTCTTTCATATTTCTTGATCTGGTTTTTCTTTTTTTTCTTTCTATTTCTACCACGTCAGGCATGTCATTTACTGTCAGCATTTCACAGATATTTTTTATTCCTGTACCGTATAAGGCTAACAAGGTATTCTTACAGCTGTCTGTGACCCTAAGTGTCACTCTGGATCAGACTGATACTCTGTTTATAATAGCAACTCAAATTAATTTGGATTCAAGGACAGCCGAAGCTTTAAATTTTTAGAAAATACTATTCAATTACAAAAATAAAAGATGCTTAATGTGGGAAATTTGGAAGAAAGTAGAAAAGGATAAATACATAAAATCATTTGCAATGCCATTACCACTTAACTCTTAAAATTTAATATTCTAATTCCAGTAGTTTCCCATATACCTATGTTCAAATATATTCTGTGTTGTTCAATGCTCTCACCAATGATTTTCTAATAATTTTTGGTGTCTGCCTGTTGTATCACATAGATATGCCATAATTTATCCAAGTCCATAGTATTGGTTTTTGTTTTTTTCTTCAGTATACCTCCTTGTGCATTTTGATTTTTTCCTTTAGCTGACCTTTTTGTAAGTACAATTACTTGGTCAAAGGGAGTAAGAGCTTTCTGTTGGCTCTCAATATCTATGAATTGATGTCCACAAAGGACTGTCCAGTCTTAGCTCTCAACGGTGATGCGTGGGGAGCTAGTTTTCTCACACTCTCTTCAGTCCTATGTCTTATTATGAAACAAACAAGGCAACAACAGAAACAACCCTGCTGTAATTTTCAGTTTTGAAGATAGAAATTTTCTCTCCTTCCAGATTGCCCCGATTCCTGACTTTTCACATTCATCTTCATTGATTCTTGGCTTGTGCTTGTTTTATTATCAAAAAAATTGTTTCTTCGTGGCCTATGCTTTAGCAGCTCAGAGTGGTTCCTAATAAAAATAAAAATGAAATAGCTGCTCGTGATTGGGCATTAAAACTGGGTGCTTTACAAATGTTAGCTCGTTTAAATCCCCACACTAATTCTGGAGGTAGGAGATACTATTCTCATTTTACAAGGAAGATATTTTAAGATGTCATTTACTGTTTGCCTTTGTGTTTATGGAGCCTGACCTAGCACCTGGCACCTCAGATGAGTATAATACTTGTTACGTGAACATTAGATAAATATTTGTCAGCTCATTTCATATTTTGGAATCTTCTCTGGATAGCATATGGTAACAGATGTACTATCATATATCGATATCTATTAATATTACTAGTATGTTGTAGCTTCATTATTTTATTATTTATTAAAGGAAACATGCAAGTCCAAACCGGAACAGAGTGCTTTTATTATGTGAGAGGGAATGAAATGCTCCCCGAGTGGCTAATCAGTAATACCAAAAATTGAATTTTTGTTTTGACAGTTCTTCTCTTGTGTGTCTTCTGAGCCGAATGCTGTGGTTATACAATACCCAATGTTAAACTGAAAAATATCGATAGTGTCCAAAGAAGCAGCTCAAGTGAATAATTTGCTTTATGTCTAGAAGTCATATAGACATTAACCTCTTCATGATTTTACAGTCCATGTACTTGAGATTGTGTCCAAACAGCCTGGGAGGTAGAGCGCTTGTAGAAGGGGAACTGCATTTTCCGACCGAATTTTCTGATTTTTGTACTTTGTTGCTTATTTCCAAATGAAAATAGAACAGAATGAAGTACATCAAAGCCAAACCAAAAATAATTTCTTTTTTTGCTTTGCAGTCAATTATTTGGCACCCACAAAGCACTGAAATGAGAAATGATAGTAAATGGACTGTATGTTATTATTGCGTTAGTTTTGTCTATTTTATGACCTTTCTTTTGTTTTCAGATTTATTTCTTATAGTTTGCTTGGAATGATGTGAATTAAGGGTCTCTTTAATGTAGCATACAGTTTTCATTATAGGGCTTAGTAACTTGAAAGGAACAGTCTTGGATAGTGTTGCGAATACTTTGTCTTGGGAGCTGGGAACTCCTCAGTCTGCCCAGGATAGTCTCATTAATCACTTGAGCAAGCAAAAAAAAGAAAGAAAGAAACAAACAAAAGAAAGCCCTACACCCTAAGCATTTGTTGAAAATATGATGTTGCAATGGTAAATTCAGGGATGAAAAATAATTTAGTTTTTAAGAGACCACATGGAATTAGCTTAATGGTGATATAATTGTGGATATGTGTTTAACAAGTTGACTTTGATTGTTAAACTACTGTGTGGTTCCCTTTCTTTCTCCTGAAGATGCCATTAGAAGTGGGTAAACATTAATTAAATGTCCTCAGAAATTCTTCTCCTCCATTCAGTTTTATAGGGAGAGAAGAATGGTTCCTTTTACACCAAGTTAGAGTAAAGTGGTCATATCCTTGTACATCTGTCCCTCTGCAGGACTGAGTGATGCAGGTGATGGAACCATTTTGTGTGTTGCACTTTTTAAAAATTATCTATGAGCTGGGGCACCTGGGTGGCTCAGTCGGGTGAATGTCTGACTTTGGTTCAGGTCATGATCTCGTGGTTTGTGAGTTCGAACCCCGTGTCGGGCTCTGTGCTGACAGCTCCGAGCCTGGAGCTGCTTTGGATTCTGTGGATTCTCTCTCTCTGCCCCTCCCCTGCTCATGCTCTCTCTCTCTCTCTCTCTCTTTCTCTCTCTCTCTCTCACGAATAAACATTTAAAGAAATTTAAAACAAGAAAAAAGTTATCTATGACAGAAATATCTCTATGTCTGAAATACTCCTTTGAATCAAATGTTTTTTAATCTTTCAAATTTTTATTTAAATTCTAGTTACGTAACATACAGTGTAGTATTGGTTTCAGGAGTAGAATTTAGTGATCATCACTTACATATAACACCCAGTGCTCAACACACATACCCTCTTTTATACCCATCACCTATTTAACCCACCCCTTAATCACCTTTCATCCAGCAACCTGCAGTTTATCTTCTGTAGTTAAGAATCTCTTATGGTTTCTCTTTCTCTCTCTTTTTTCCCCTTCATCTATGTCCATCTGTTTTGTTTCTTCAATTCTACATATGAGTGAAATCAGATGGTAGTTGTCTTTCTCTGACTGATTTATTTCGCGTAGCATAATACACTCTAGGTCTATCCATGTCGTTGCAAATGGCAAGATTTCATTCCTTTTGATGGCTGAGTAATATCCCATTGTATATATATACCACATCTTCTTTATCCATTCATCAGTCAATGCACATTCCTTTGATTTAGTTTTTAAGGCAAACATTTATTTGCTGGAACATATTTCTGTTAATTTCAGAATCTTCTAATTCAAAACTAGAAAGGATTAACAAAATCAACAAATGTTCAATGTTTGGAAGTCTCAGGCCTGGCTATTTGGGTTTTCAATAAAACCTGAATTTAAGTATAGGAGGTTGGGTTAAGAATTTAAATCTTTATGTCAGGGGCGCCTGGGTGGCGCAGTTGGTTAAGCGTCCGACTTCAGCCAGGTCACGATCTCACGGTCTGTGAGTTCGAGCCCCGCGTCAGGCTCTGGGCTGATGGCTCGGAGCCTGGAGCCTGTTTCCGATTCTGTGTCTCCCTCTCTCTGTGCCCCTCCCCTGTTCATGCTCTGTCTCTCTCTGTCCCAAAAATAAATAAACGTTGAAAAACAAAATTAAAAAAAATAAATCTTTATGTCAGATTGGGACTCTATACCTAAATAAAACCATTATGAATTTTTCTCTGGCCCTCTTGTCTGTTCATAAATATATAAAGATATTCTGGACTTTATTTTGTATGTGATAATCTTAGACAAGTTTACCAGAGTTTGGGCTCTGTAAAATGCGAATGCTGTGTCTGATAAGTGAGCTTAGGTCAAAAAGGATAATTACAATTCTGGCAACATTTGGATCTATCCTCTTTATGTTATTGATATGCTGCCTTTAGTCAGGTATGGCTCTCTGTTCATTGCCTCTGCACCTTGTCCTCCCTGCCTCTACCTCTGTCCCACTTCAGACGTGTATGTTCAAGTCTGCATGAAGGTGGTAGCAGGCTGGGCTGTCTTCGTGTGGGTTGTCATGTTTTTTTCTCCTAGTGTGTTTACATGTCCCTGGAAATCCCAGTTGCTTTTCATTCTTTAAGAATACAGTATTGTCTTTTTTTTTTTTTTTTAAGTAATAGATTGCATTTATATAGCTTTTACATGGTATACACATTGGATCAATCATATGTTTATTATAGCCCTTTCAGAAGTGAGAAATCCAGTGCTGATCATGTAGAATGACTGCTTTGTTCATGTACAGTGATTTGCATTTTTTTTAAGCTTATTTATTTATTTTGAGAGGGAGGTAGAGACAGAGAATCCTAAGCAGGCTCTGCATTGTCAGCACAGTGCCTGATGTGGGCGAGAACTCACGAACCGTGAGATCGTGATCTGAGCCCAAACCAAGAATTAGACGCCCAACCGACTGAACCACCCAGGCATCCCTGCAGTGATTTGAATTCTTAAAAGGCATTTGCTTCTTGTCTTTTACCACCACAGCTCCAGAGGTCTACAAATGAACTATTGTAGAAACCAGACCTGTGATTTTTTCACATGATTCACTTGTGTGGCACATTGTTGGATGATTGTAAATGAGCATGCCTTCCTCTTATTTTTTTTTCCCCAAGATTATTTTTTTAGTTAAAAGGGTGGGTATAAGTTTTAATGAAATGGTGTATGAACTTACTCGTTTACCTTTTTGGAAGTAAAATATTTTAGGAACCTAATGATGAATCCAGTCACTTCTGTTACTGCTTCCTGGAGCTGTATGTAGTTGGTTTGGAAAAGAAGAATGTATCAACTCCCGCATTTCTTGTTTTCTTGACGACAGAGGGCAGCAGACTCCTAAATGATGTGAATTCCTATCCTTTGGATTCCTCCCTGTTGGAACTGGTAGCAGGATTCACCTGAGAGATCTATAGAGTCACCTTGTAAAATTTCTCATAGATATCGTTCTCTTTCACTCTGGTGAAATACATATGGAGGTAGAACTTGCTTAATCAGAACACAGACAGTAATAACTGGATCTGAATTTCATTAATTTCTTAATGTTACTGGTAATTTTCCATTAAATTCTTTCTTAAAATTAACTTTTATTGAAAACATGTCAGTGTGCAGTTGACTTTCTAGATGTGATCTATGTGATTTTTTTAGATGATCAAATAAAAACCTCTTTAAGTGATTGTGAATATTGTATACATTGGATACAGTAAGTTACATAGATTAAAACTTTCAAAAAGTTATGTAGATTAAACTCTCACAGCTGCTTATTTTGTTCTCCAGGCAATGAATCGCTCCCTGGCTAATGTGATTCTTGGAGGCTATGGTACGACTTCGACAGCTGGTGGAAAACCCATGGAAATTTCTGGCACACATACAGAAATCAACCTTGACAATGCAATTGACATGATTCGTGAAGCTAATAGCATTATTATTACTCCAGGTAAAAAACCAAAAGCGAAAAGTAAACAACCTATAAGAGCTGCTGGAATTTATTGTATTAATACAGTTTCTTACAACAGGAAAAAAATTGAATTGGAACTTACTTATTTTTTGAAAATGTAATGGAAACATAGAAACAACCCTCTGATTACCAAGTAAAAAATGGTGAGAATCCTTGGCTTAGGTTAATATTTTGGGAATCATATAGAGATTTTACAAACTGATGTAGAGGGTTCTCGCCATGTCTTTCTCTGATTCTGTACAAATGTTTTAGTCATCTTTGAGTCTTGGTTATTTTTTTCTCAATGATCATTTTTGGGATTACTGTGAGTATTAAATTAGAAATAGTGTATGAAAGTATCTATCTCACTCATTAGACTCAATAAATGCTAGTAAATGTTAATCTCTTTCTTATCAACAGTAAATATTTAAAAAAATCATTGAGAATCATGTGATTTCCAATAAGGTGAGGTAACATGACCTAATAGAAAGGACCTGATCTGGGAGTCACAACACCTCATTTTTGTTCTTAATTTTACCTCCAACAATTGACATGACATTGACCAAGTCATTTAATCTCCTAGACCCAATCCCTAATTTTTCTCAGGTTTAGCTTAGTTTTTCTTTAATCCTACCCCAGAATTCTGTGGTATTACAGGTAATATATTGGCTTCAGATTAGGATTTTAACTCTATCATGCTATCGTAAGAGTTTTCTAAAAAGGAAATCTATTGATTTGACAAGTCTAGAAGTTTGCTTTCATTTCTAGTCCTGTTAACAGATTGCCCCTTTTTTTTTGGCCTAAAAATATGTTTTGAAGGGGCGCCTGGGTGGCTCAGTCAGTTAAGCGTCTGACTTCGGCTCAGGTCATGATCTTGAGGTCTGAGAGTTCGAGCCCCGCGTCGGACTCTGTGCTGACAGCTCAGAGCCTGGAGCCTGCTTCAAATTCTCTGTCTCCCTCTCTCTGTGCTCCCCACTCACAGTCTGTCTCTCTCTCTCAAAAATGAATAAACATTAAAAAAATTTTTTTTAAATATGTTTTGATCAAGGGAGAAATTGTAGTTTATAAGATTTCAAAATAAAAGTCACGTTCTTCTGTGTCCTTCATGTTCTTTGCAGGCTATGGTCTCTGTGCAGCCAAAGCGCAGTACCCCATCGCAGACTTGGTGAAGATGCTCGCTGAACAGGGCAAGAAAGTCAGGTCAGTGCTTATAGTGCCTGGTTTGCAGCACGTGTGTGAGAGGAAAGGAAAATAGAGGACTGACGTTTAGATGACTTTCTTACAGTGGAGTTTTACGTATGTAATCCCAGGTAAAGAAACTGAGTTGTCAAAACCCTATTCTAGCCTTAGTCTTGCTACCTAGTTGCACTGAACCTAAATACAGCTCCATTTTGGAAAGGGAAACTTTATTATACCGAATTCCGGGATTTTTGTTAAAGGGGTAAAACAGAAGTCCTGTTTCTGGTTGGATTTGGGGAAGGAGGTCACACAAAGCATTAGAACCACATCAGGTTGTACCTTTTGGTTTCTCTTGTTCCCACTGACTGAAGAAAAACATCTCAAACGAGAGGTCTTTGTAGAGTGAGTGGGACCCAGTGGTGATCCCGTGGGCTGATTAATGTTTGACTGCGTTCGCTCTCCTGTTCTCATGGCAAAGACTATTGAAATTGTTTTTTTCCTAAAGCCATACGTTTTTTGAAATATGGATTAGGGCAGTAGCTGTCCCTGTTACTTGGCATTTGGGCCCTAGACTCTGCCCTTGAGAGGATCTTGAACACAATGAGGAAGTTGAGGACTCTGCAATTCTAGATTATTCCCATGACCTTGGATAAAGGGTTTGAGGGATGTAAAGGTGGGGCCAGTGGGTGACAAACCCTTGCAGTACTTTGTATCTGGCTTATGCACCTTTGGATCCCTATTTTGGAGTGAAGAGACTGTCTGGAGGACTGTCCTCCCAGGGGGGAGGGATACCTGTTTCCTCTTGAGTAGAGAAGCTGTTCTCTAGCAGTTTCATTGACATAGTATCATAAGTCAGAGAGACAAGCCAACTCTATTATCAAATAAAGTTAGTTTGTTCACCTGAAAGTTAATGTATGTTGACAAAACTGTTAATGTCTGTTCATGAAAATCCCTTTTAGATGTCTATCTTATACTTTTTCTGGGGAAGATGATAAGAATAAGCCTAACCACGTGCCTAGAACTAATCAGAGCTAGTCAGAGTGTCTACACAAGATTGAATCCTGAATGTCCCAGCTATTAATAGTGGTGAAGAGACTTAGCCGATGATAGAAGGGGATCTAACATTTTAACATCAGCTACATTTTTTTTCCTTCCTTCCTCCCTTCCTTCCTTCCTTCCTTCCTTCCTTCCTTCCTTCCTTCCTTCTCTCACTCCTTCCCCACTCTCTGCCTTCCTGCAATCCATAGTTAGTCTGTGTTTTTCTTTTTTTTTTTTTTAATTTTTTTTTTTCAACGTTTATTTATTTTTGGGACAGAGAGAGACAGAGCATGAATGGGGGAGGGGCAGAGAGAGAGGGAGACACAGAATCGGAAACAGGCTCCAGGCTCTGAGCCATCAGCCCAGAGCCCGACGCGGGGCTCGAACTCACGGACCGCGAGATCGTGACCTGGCTGAAGTCGGACGCCTAACCGACTGCGCCACCCAGGCGCCCCTAGTCTGTGTTTTTCAAATACAGAGAGTCAAAATACTATTTTGTGGTAGGACCAGCTTTTCTGTGATGTAGATGTTACCATGTTTAGTGTAATCTTCGAGGAATTGAAGATCGAAGATGAGAAAAATCACTGGCTCTGTTTTTTGATTTTCACATATGAAGTCTCATTTTGGTCACTGATTCCCATTTTCTTATCCGGTATTGTACAGGGCCGCCCTTTCAGTCATACGTTTGCCACTTAAAACATTTGCAGACCTACACAAGGAATGGATGTGTTAAAGAATCTTTTATGATTTTCTTAAAAAGAAATTGTTTTTCTTTTATTCAGTCCACATGTGAGAAGTCTAACGTATTAGTAATGCCTTCTATCACCACAAATGTTTAGGATGTGAGTGGCAATCCTAATGAAGTAGAGAAACATAGCTTTCCTGTCTTAGTTCTCCTTTGGGAAGGGATGATTAATCTGACATACCTCCCTTAGTACCCACGGACCAGCCTATATTAACCAGACAGCTTGGAAAATCAGTCCAGGGTGAGGTGGATGCAAAGTTGGGGAGCATCGTGACTATAGGGTAGTTTGACAGAAGCAGGATGTGAGGCGAGAGGACTAAGAGGGATGGAAAAAATGATAATAAAAGGGATGAGACAAATGAAATTTCGGTTTCTGACCTAATTAAAATGTGATTTTGATCCATGAGGACATAACAAAAATTGTTGTTTTAGGTTGATTTCTGTTACACTGCATGGGAAAAATAATTACTTAAGATTTATGGGAGATATTTAATTAAACATATATGAATAGTTTCTCAGTTATAATTTGTGTTTTATGGAAGTAATTTTGTGAACAGAATATCAGACTTTATGTGAGAGAGAGTTCCGTCGTTTTACTGAGAACGTTTTACTGAGAGAGTTCAGTTTTTTACTGTGATCTGTTGAATTTTCACCATGGGCTTCATATGCAAATCTCATGTTTGAGTTAAATGGAAGCAAAGTGTTCTTGCTAACACAGTGACAGTAGATTATCCTATTTTTCCTTTCTAGTTTCTGAGTGGGTTTTTTTTTTTTTTTTTAACTGAAAGGGAGTCATAGAAATTGTTGATTTTGTCTCGTGTATTATCATCTTTTCCTGGGAGAAATGGAGATTTTCTTGATGAAGTTAGGAATATGTCTATCTGTAGATGCTGGCTTTCTTCTTCTTCTTCTTCTTCTTCTTTTTTTTTTAATAGACAAATGTCTGTTTGCATGAGATGGCTGCAGCATTACCTCGTATTTTAATGAAATAAATCTGTATTTACAGTTAGCAGTAATTTCATCCTTTCATCACTCTGTGGAGCTCCCACGGTGTTCATTGAGCACAGCTGCTGGGCCTCTGGTGTCAGTAGATCTTTGTGCCTCAGGACCCCAGCATGCCTAGCATCCAGATGTGGTGACATATTCGCACACATACCCCATGGAAATGTGCCAGTGAGGACATACGATTGTCATCAATTAGTTATGCCCAAGTGGTGCCAAGAAAAATTGCATCTGTCATACAGTCTGTCTGGCTTCATGGCCCATGATTGATTTAGAGACACTCCTGTTTTCCTTTCCTTTGGCTACAGTCATAACATACTCACCGGGAGCTGAGATTGCATAATGCAGCACATGACATTTCATGACAAGAGCTCCTTTCCGAACGGCATGAATGTTCACTGACTTAGACTTTCTCTAGTGGCCAGTACATTGTTGCTTCCCAGTTGGCCAGAATGCCTCTATAGCTTCCCTAACCTCTGCTTGATCTCTAAAAGCATTTTATTACCAAAATCTTATGCTACAAAAATGTAGACATTTTTTTTTTCTCTTTATTTCCCAATCTTTGGATCAATACGATGGGCTTTTCTTTTTTTTTTTTCTTTTTAAAAAAATTTTTTTTTCAACGTTTTTTATTTATTTTTGGGACAGAGAGAGACAGAGCATGAACGGGGGAGGGGCAGAGAGAGAGGGAGACACAGAATCGGAAACAGGCTCCAGGCTCTGAGCCATCAGCCCAGAGCCCGACGCGGGGCTCGAACTCACGGACCGCAAGATCGTGACCTGGCTGAAGTCGGACGCTTAACCGACTGCGCCACCCAGGTGCCCCCGATGGGCTTTTCATTATAAAGCAGAGATAGTGTTCCCAGTGAGTAATTCTTAGAAAGAGGTGTAATTTTTTTCTGTTTGCAATTAATCACTGCTGGATTTTCTTTTCAGAAAGCCTTATTGCTTGGCTCACCACAGAAGTCTTTTGAATTTGTGAAACCACCTTTCAGTTTCTCTGATTTACTGACTGATATTATGTATTGCTTTCCTATTAATGTTCAACTACATCTTTCTGTTAATAATTTGTTGGTAGAAATTTATACTAGGGATTGGGATTCAAGGGTGCATAAGCGCAATTCCCACTCTCAAATGTTTATAGTTATGAGGAAAACAAATCTGTACACAAATGAATCCATGAAAGAATTCCATTTAATGTGATAGTATGCTAGGAAAAGTAGAGTGGAAGGAGGATCAGAATGCAGAGGAGAGGAGTAGGTAATTAACCAGGGGACGTTTGAAACCTCTTGTGCTACTCAGAACATGAATTTTTTGCAGGTTTTTAAAAACATTTAATCTTTTTCATTCTCTGTCTAAACACATCTAGCTGCCATTGGTATTTGCGGTTTAATAGTGCTTTACAGTCTCGTGTGGCATGGCTATCGGTTTAAATATATGTTATTTTTTGCTAAGGAATCCGTTCTTTGAAGATAGTTGAAGATGAAATATTTTGTCAGTCTAACTGGATTTTCTTGTTTTTCATGGATTACATATAATTCAAGTAAACAGAGTTCAGCCTTCTTGGATTTGTTATGTATTGGGATGCAGGAAGAGATAGGACATTCAGATTTATAAGGTAATAAAGGCACATGCTTCTGAAGAGAATAGATATTAATTAGGCCTGATAAAATATTCCGAAATTTGAGTAACGAAAGAAGACATTTTATTTAGCATTTCAGCGACAACTTGCAATACATTCTTTTTAGACATGACTATCATGTTAATGACCATTCACTGAACAGATAGTTATATAGTGTTTGGTGCCAGGCACCGTTCTAGGTCCTGAGAATAGGTCCTTGAGTACACGGATGAAAATTCTGCGTATTCACAGTGAAATGTACATTCACGGGGAGGTTATATCATAGGCTTGAAGATTCTGACTTGGAGACACTTACAGCCCCATTGTGTCTTCAGCTCAGATGCAGCTGAAATGATGACAAACAGCTGTAGCATAGAAAATTGTATCAGAATTTCGGAGTTACGGCTGGTACTACTGGGTGATGAATTAACCAGTGCTTCAAGTTTTCTGAAAGAATATGGTGTTATTTCTTTGCACTTTGCTCCGAGCCTGCCTTTTTGAAAAACATAGTGGCCAGGAAGGTGGGTGTGATGGGAGTTATTTGTGTAATTAGTCATATGAATGAAACTTTTGGTAGAAGGGAGGAAAACCCAAGAAAGTATGTACATTCACTCA